GAACACCCCATTCAGCCCCAAAGGAGCACCGATGATAAATGTCAGAGGAAGGACAGGACACCCAGCTGATTTCAAGTCTAGCATTTTCCTCTTTTTTCCTTTTATAAAGCCTAAATCTGCTTTTCTTCATCTTCCACCCATTACTTCTAGTTCTGTTTTCTGGGGCCTGAGCAGAAGAAATCTCTAGTCCTTTCCTAAATCTTCTTTTCTCCAGGCTGAACATCCCTACTTCCTTCTTCTGATCATCTTACAACTCTTTCCCAATGGGGTGTCTAGAATGTAACATTATTCCAGATATGGTCCAACATGTGGATATGGGGGCAGCTGACTGCACACAGTCACCTATTGTGCCAGGCCTGGAGTCAGAAAGACCTGAGTTGAAACTAGCTGTGTGATTCTAGGCAAGTCACTTACCTTCTACCTGCTTCAGTTTCCTCAACTGTAAAATGGTGATAATAATAGCACTTATCTCACAGGGTTGTGAGGATCAAATGAATTAATTGTAAAGCACTTAGCACAGTGCTTGTTTCCTTCCTTTCTGACAGAGCAGAGAAGAGCAGGACTATAAATGCCCTAGTCCTGGGCTCTGTGCCACTGCTAATCCTGCCTCAGATCACATTAGCCCTTTTAGCTGGCATGACACACTGCTGACTTACTAAAACCACCAGGTCTTTTCAAGACTAGCTTAAATCAATCAATGAGTGAGCATTTATTAAGGGCCTATGATGGGCACTGAGCACACAAAGTAAAAAGTGAAACAGTGCCTGCCCTTGAGAAGTTTACATTCTATGCAGGTGACAATGTGTACATAAGTATAACAATTAAATACAAAACAAGTTTATGAACTAGTAGCTCAGGGGAATCAGGAAAGGATTATATAGAAGGTGGCTCTTGAGCAAAGTTTTGAAGGAAAAAGCAGATTCTAAATGGTGAAAGTGAGAAAGGGCAGCTGTCAGGGCACAGGGGGGCAATCAATACAAAGATGTGTAAAGCAGATTTCGAGTGGCGTTTAGAAGCAGCAGCAAGAAGGCCTGGTAGGCTGGACTGAAGAGTCCAGGAAGGAGAGTTATATAAAATAAGGGTGAAAAGTAGATTGGGGGAAGGTTGTGAAAAGCTTTAAAAGCCAAATAGAGAAGCTTATATAGGATCCTAAAGGCATTAGGAAGCCATTGGAGATTACTGAGTAGGGGGAAGGGCCCGGTATTAGCAGCACTTTAGGAAATTCATTTTGGCTATGTTGTGGAAAATGGTCATTTTCAGTTGTAACTGACTCTTTGTGACCCCATTTGTGGTTTTCTTGGCAGAGATACGTGGAGTGGTCTTCTATTTCCTTTTGTAGCTCATTTTACAGATTAGGAAACTAGGCAAATGGGGGAAGTGACTTGCCCAGGGACACATAGCTAATAGGTGTCTGAGACCAGATTTGAACTCAGGAAGATGAATCTTCCTTACTCCAGCCCTGGCACTCTATCCACTGCCCCACCACTGTGGAAGAGAGAATGGAAAAGGTTGAATGGGTCAAGGAGACTAATTAGTAGGCTACTGCAATAGTCCAGATAAGTGGTGATAAGGGCCTGAACTAGGATGGAAGAATGTGGGTAGAAGGACAGACATGGATGAGAGAGATGTTACAAAGGAGGAAACAACAAGATTTGACAGTTGGTTGGGTATGTCCAGGGAGAGAAAGAAAAGACTTGAAGATGACACTGAGCTTGCAAACTCCAGTTCTGAGAAGGATGGTGGCACCCTCCACAAAAGTAGAGAGATTCAGAAGAGGACCGGGTTTGGGGGAATTCAATTTTGAATTGGTGGAGTTGGAGAGGTCTGCTGGACATTTGGTGTGAAATATCCAATAGGCCGTAGGAAATTCAGAATTGGAGCTCGGAGAAATATTAGGGCTGGATATGTACATTTATATAGTCAATATAAATATATATCCTATCTATGTAGGATAAATACTGATAGTCATCTACAGGGATTTGCTAATTGAAGACACTGGAGCTAAATAGGTTTCCAAGTGAAAGAGTATAAAGAGCGAAAAGAGGCTGGGACAGAGCCTCAGGGTACGTACATAGTAAAGGGGGTAATGATCCAGAAAAAGAGATTGAGGAGTAGTTGAACAAGTAGAAGAATCAAAGGGAAAGCAATGTCACAAACTACAAGAGGGGAGAAAGTGTGTCAGAGAAAGGCCGGTCAACAGTATCAAATGCGGCAGGAAAGTCATGAAGGATGAGCGTTGAGAAAAGGCCATTAGAGCAAGCAATTAATAGACCCTTCCCTGGTCTTACACGCCCGGTTACTTGGGGCAACACTTTTGTAGTAGCAAAGAACTGAATATGGGGGAAGAATTTGGGGAAAGGCTAAGCACATTGAGGTCTGTGGATATGATGGAATATTACTGGGCTTTTATAAAGGATGGATAGCATACAGAGAAACATGGGAAAACGTGAACTGAGGCAAAGCAAGCCGGAAAATAATATACCCGATGACTATAACAATGTGAATGGAAACAATAACAAAACCATTTAAACCACTTTTTTTTTTAACACAATTGGGGTTAAGTGACTTGCCCAGGGTCACACAGCTAGGGCCAAGTGTTTGGTCTAAGGTCAAATTTGAACTCAGGTCCTCCAGACTTCAGGCCCAGTGCTCTATCCACTGTGCCACCTCACTGCCCCTGCTCTCTCGCTTTTGACAGAGGTGTTGGATTGTAGGTGTGGAACATCACATAAAATGTCAGATTTCTTCAATGTGTTTATTTTGCCAGGTTGTTTTTCTTTTCTCTTTTTATTATAGGGCATAGCTATCAAGGAAGGGCAAAGGGAAGGACACACTAGGAAATTGGGTGATTTAAAAATAAAAAATATGAATAAAATTATTTTTAAAAAACATAATTGTTAACTCTGGAAAGAGTACTTTTGGTGGAGTTATGAGGTCAAAAGCCAGATTACAAAGAACTGAGGATGAGAGGAGAGGAAGTAGATTTAATGGGTTATAGGTAGCTTTTTCCAACAGTTTGAGTATAAAAATAAGGAGAAATATAAAAAAATGATAATGAAGACTTGGGTGTGTTTGTTGGCTGCAGAAAAGAAGCTAGTAGATAGGGAGAGTGACAATTAGATGGGAAAAGGGGTTAGTAACTGTAGGGACAATTTGCTAAAGATGTGAGGGTTCCTGGAGAGGGGCTGGACCTGGAGAAGAAAAGAATCACCTCTTATTCAGAGACTGAATTGAAGGAAAAGAAAATTAGAGATGATGTCAAAGGATTTTGAGAAGTGAAGACAATGGAACTCATCCCTATTTTGTTGGATAAGGTCCTCAGCTAAGAGGAAAGAGAAAGGGGATGGTATGTGAAGCTGGAGGAGAGGTTTGGAATGTAGGGAGTAGTGAAGAGTTTAGGGAGGAGAAATGGATTGCCTTGCTATTAGTAAGAGTCCAGTTGAGACTAAGCACTTTCCCCCCACCATCTACTTGAGACATTAACATTTTTAAGCCAAGTACAGGATTTTGCATTTAAACCTACTAAACTTGATTTAATTAGAACTGGTTCTGCTTTTTTTTTTCCCCTTAATTTTCCGAGGCAATTGGGTTAAATGGCTTGCCCAGGGTCACACAACTAGTGAGTGAGGCTGGAATTGAATTTAGATCTTCCTGACTTCAGGGCCAGGGCTCTATCCACTGCACCGCCTAGCTGCCTTGATTGTTTTTTAAGCTTGTCAAGTTCTTTTGTGTTCTTGACTCTGTCGTCTAATACGTTTTATGCCATCTCAAAATTCAATAAGCAATTCATCTATGCCTTTCTCTAAGTCATTGATAAAAAATGTAAAACACAGGGCGAAGGAAAGATCTGTGGAAACACTCCACTAGAAACCTCCCAGAAAGGAAGGGAGGAAAGAAGGAAGAAAGGAGAGAAAGAAGGAAGGAAGGAAGGAAGGAAGGAAGGAAAGAAGGAAGGAAGGGAAGAAGGAAAGAAGGAAGGAGCAAAGGGGGGAGGGAGGAAGGGAGGAAAGAAGAAAGAGGAAAGAAAATTTTCTATTCCATGTCTGAGGAAGAGTAAAATTTGTTAAAAGAAAATTTTTTAAAATCATATTTTATTTTTCCCAAGTTATATGTAAAGACAATTTAAAAATTCTTTTTTTTAAAATTTTGAGTTGAAGGACATTTATTAAGTGTCGAATATGTTACAGGCACGATGCTAAGTGCTTTATAAATATTTCATTTGAATCTCATAACCTTGAGAGGTAGGTGCTATTATTATCTTCATTTTACAGTTGAGGAAATTGAGGCAGTTAAGTGACTTGCCCAAGGTCACACAGCTAGAAAGTGTCTAAGATAGGATTTGAACTCAGATCTTCCAGATTCCAGGTCCAGTGCTCTGAAGAGTGCCCCCACCTGCCTGGTATCCCCTTGTCAATATCACTTCAATTCTTGCCTCCATTTAGCTTCACCCAGGTGCTCTCCACTGTTGTTCTCTCCAATTTCTGGGTTTATTTACATGAACACACTTTAATATACAATGCTATTCCAACACACTTCTTACATTCTATTCTATTTCTATCCCCTATATCCTTAGCCATATTCTAGTAATTAAAAATCCCATCAAACCAGGTCATAATGAGGTCAATCCGCATCCTTGCAATAGGATCTCACATTAACTTTGTTTAGCAGTCATCCTAGGTGTACGTGCGCAAAAACACCCACGGCCATTGATTTTATTGATGTGCAATGAATTGGAGCCAGCATTAAGAAAGAGGGCAGTCATTCTTCCCTAGCCCACAGGCAAGGCAGCTCAGGACGCAACTGGGCTTTGCAACTCCCAACCCGGCTGCGTTACCTGGGATGTGCTAGAGGGAAACCATAATAACCGCCTTCGGAAGCCCCGCCCCTTTCCCCCCGCTTCCTCACAGCGCGTGCTGTTTCGCACTGCAGCTGCGCAGATGGCAGGCCGAGGAGCGCGGACCAATAGCCAGCCGCGCTCCTCCCCCGGACGGCTCAGGGAGGACCAATCCAGGCGCCGCTCTTGGCTTTACAAACCGGCGCCCTCTTGGAGCCCCGCCCCCCTGCAGAAGAGCTCGATTGCCGCGGACGGGTAACTCAGGTGAGAAAGACTGATTTTTCGTGAACCCCTCCGAATGGACCATTCTTACTTCTCCGTGCCTTGTGAGAATGAGCCTTGGAAGAGGCCACTGTGGAGGATTGGGGGCAGACGGGGGCGTCCACTTCTTTCGCCCACCCGAAGTGCTGTTTCTGCCTTTTTCCTGAGGAATTTGAGCTCTCTGGGGGTGAGCGGGGGGGGGGGGGTCCAGGAAAAAGTTATAGCGGTGAATTTGTAGGTTTCACTGTGCCTTTTGAATTGTCTCAGGAAAGTCTGTATTGGCTGGAGAAGTTGTCAATCAATGGCGTCTACTAATCAGTGATGGGTCTCCGGCTCATTGCGGGTGGCCTTGAAATTTATAGGTTCTTAGGGTTCAGAGCCGGAAAACACGGGAATGAATGAAAGGGGGCAAGAGCACGTCTCTCTTGGATTTCGCTCTCCAGACCGCTCTGGTTGCGTCTGTCTGCAAACTCGCTTTCTCCAGGCAACCAAGACCTCCCTGTTTGCCCTTCCACTCTGGAGTCTCTGTTTTTATTTCCCCATATTACTTAGAACTTGCAGCTTTAGGATGATTTTCCTATTTTCCAACAGTATGCGCTTTGTCCTGGTGTTAATTAAAAGGGCCTCAGAGGCGTATGCGATTTATGCTCTAGGCAGTGGAGAGCTGCTGAAACAATCTTTAAAATGCAGGTCTGATCGCATCACTCCCTTGTTCAAGAAGTATCCGTGGCTCCCTGTTGCCTCTGAGATAAAACACCATTTTGCCTGGCATTCAAAGCCTTTCACAATCCAACTTCAAACTGTCTTGCCAGACTGATCTCACATCTTTCACCCCTCACACACTCTACGTTCCAGCCAAACTGATGTACTTGCTGCTCCTTGTGTATAACACTCCATCTCCACATTGCCTTTGCACATTCTGCCTCCCCCTCACCCCCCGAATATTCTCTCCTCTCACTGCCACCTTGCAGGATCCCTAGTTTTCTTAAAAGCATAGCTTAAGTGCCACCTCCTGTATGATCCTCCAAGTTCTTAATACTCTCTCCATCCCTAATTTGCTTAATGTTTATTCTCCATGTATATATTATATGTATGCATGTAGGTATAAAATATTTACTTAATATTTATTTTCCATGTATATATTATATGTATGCATGTAGGTATAAAATATACTTAGCCGCATACATGTTTTCCTCCAGCAGAATGTGAACTCCAAGGTGACAAGGTCTCCTGGGGTTTGGGGGTTGGTTGTCTTTGCACCCCCAGCATCCTGCTTAATGGCTTCTGGATAGTAAGCACTTAGTAAATGCCCATTGAATTGAAATGAAGGTTTTTGAACAAGAGAGTGACATACAGCCAGGCCTCCTCAGGAAGTTCATTTTGTTTCTTTTTTTTTTTTTTTAAGGCAGTTGGGGTTAAGTGACTTGCCCAGGGTCACACAGCTGGTAAGTGTCAAGTATTTGGTCTGAGACCAGATTTGAACTCAGGTACTCCTGACTTCAGGGCCAGTGCTCTATCCACTGTGCCACCTAGCTGCCCCAAGGAAGTTTATTTTGGCAGCTGTGAGGAGGATGCCACACTGGAAGCCAAAAACAGATTAGAAGGCTGGCCAGGCAAGAGGTGTTGAAGGCCTCAAGTCGGGTATAGCTTTGCAAACAGAGAAGAGGAGGCTGAAAGGAAAGATGTTCAGGGGGGAGCTGACTGTTAACTGATGAAAGGTGGGCAGTGAGGGAGAGGACTGTCAAGGGTGACCAAAGGTTATAGATTTGGGTAGGATAATAGTCCCTCAAGAGGAATAGGAAAGTTTTGACAAGTGGCGGATATGGGGGGAGGACAGTTCCGTTTGGGACACCTTGAGTTTGGGATGTCCTTAAGGAGATATCTAGCAAGATTAGAGCTGGCTAAACAGATCTGAAGTCATCTGCATAGAGATGAGACTTGAACCAATGGGAGATTTGTATGAGAACCTACGTAGAGTGGGAAGAGAAAACTCAAAACAGTTCTCCAGGAAATACCCAAGCTAAGGGTTCTGGAAATTATGATGATGCAGCAAAGGAGATTTTGAAAGAGTGGACAAGTGAGAGAATCACTAGGAGAAAGCAGTGTCAGGGAAGCCAAGGGAAAAGTGAGTATGCAGGAAGAGATGATCAGTAGTGTCAGAAGTTTCAGAAAGGTCAAGGAGAATCAAGACTTAGAAAAAGATGTTGGATTTAACAGTCAAAAGATCCTTGGTAACCTGGGAGAAAATTTGAGTGGTAGAGCCAGAAGTCAAATTGTGAGGTGTTTAGAAGTGAATGGGTGATGAGGAAGTGGAAACAGCCAATGTAGATGATTCTGTATTGGTGGAACAAATACCCAACAGTAACATGATTATGTATTCTTGAAGTATAGATTACTTCAGTCTTATAGGACCTACCAAAGTCTGAGTGTAGGCTCAGGGATAATGGGTATCTTAAGTTCAGTGTAACTGAGTTTAGAAAGGTTGATATCACCAGGTAGTGGATTTGAGAAGGGTCAAGCCCAAGTGAAAGACAATAAAATTCGATAATATATTTGTTAAGGGTCTACATGGGCAGAACACTGCTAAGCTCCGGAAGAGAGTTAACATTTAGATGAGACACAGTTCCCATCTCCAAGGAATCTGCAATCTAGTAAGGGGTGACATCAGGAGAGATGCCTGTAATGCATGGTGTGATATGATATGTGAAGTAGAGCATTACAAAACTAATGACCAAAGGAACACATCCTGGGATAGGTTGCATTTGAGATGTGCTGCAAAGGATAGGTAGAGTTCTGTCCAGTGTGAAAAAATGGGGAGGGAGCATATTCCAGGCCTGAGGGAAAGACTGAAGCCAAAGGATTGGAGGCAGGAAAACTCAGTACTTGTTGGGTTTGGGGATGGGGAGCAGAAATCTGAGAATCATCTGGTTTGACTAGAACGTTGAGCGTGCAGACAGGAATAATATGAGAATCGGTTGGAAAGGTAGGGTAGTGCCAGGTTGTAGAGGTGCTAGAATGCCAGCAAAGGGATTTTGACATTAAGATCATGGCAGCAGCAGTCTCTCAAGACTTCTGAGCAGAAGAGTGCCATGCCCAGATCTGTGGGTGCGAAAGTTACTCTGGTGGCAGTGTGAACTGGAGGGAGGAGACAAGAAGTAGGAAGACCTTGAAGGATTTTCTTGCAGGAGCCAAGGTGACTGGGAACGAGACTTCTACTAATGTACTGTGGTGGAAATAGATAGGGCTGGGTGCAGAAGATGTTAGAAATGAGACTGCCGGGACCTGCTGGCTAGAAATGACATGTGAGGGTTACAAATGTGGAAGACTGGGTGCCCATTGACAGAAATTGTAAAGGCAGAAGGAGAAATGGATTTATGGGGAGTGGTAAAGAATTCCATTTTAGACATGGTCAGTGTTAGGTGGGAGTATAACAGCCAGGTGAACTCCTATTCTTAACTTGGGGTCTGTGACCTTTTTTAAAAAAAAATTATAACTATTTCAATATAATTTGTTTCCTTTGTAATCATATGCATGTCATTTAAATGATTCATTTACTTTGTAATCATGTATTTTATTTCTTAAATTTAAAATCGTTATTCTGAAAAGTCCATAAACGTCACCAGATCGCCAAAGAGGCCCATAACACAAAAAATGATTAAGACCTCCTTAGAAGATCAGGGTAAAAATCATTAAGAGAAGGAAAGTAGCCAAAGCACTAGAAGTGAATGAGATTGCTGAGGAAGAAAGTATAGAGCCTGGGAGGGGGCTGAGAATAAACCTTGTGGAACATCTGCAGTAAAGGGTGGTGAAGAGGATGAGAAGCCAATGAAGGCCTGATCATAGCCCTGAGGAGAACCAGCAGAGGGTGGTGTCTCTGAACCATAGGGAGAACAGGGTAGGGTAGAGTAGGATGGGAGGGAAGACGAGTCAGTGCTGTAGAGAGGTCAAGAAGGGTGAAGGCTGTGGGGGAAAGCCATTGGATTGGATAATTGGTGGAAAGCAGGACCAATGCTTAATAAATCCCAGAAGCATAAATTTCTGGGGCAAGGCTCCTTTTCGTTAAGAAGTACTGGGAAATTGATTACAGGCCTAATTAATCAGAAGTTAGGGTTAGCCCAATACTTTATACCATATAGCATAATATGCTCAAATGTATATTCAATATCAACATCAAAGGTCACAACACTTTTTTTTAAAGTTCTGAGAATAAGATTATGCTCCTTTCACAGCTAAGAGGAGAATTTGAAGCAAAATAAGTGATACAAGCAAGTGCAAAATATAAAATAGATAATTTCAGTTACATAGATAAAAAAATCTTTTGTACAAATAAAATCAGTGCACCTAAGAAAAGAATGGAAACTGCTTTTTTATATATTTATAATTTATTTATTTTTAGTTTTCACCATTCACTTCCATAAGATTTTGAATTTAAAATTTTCTCCTCCTCCTTTTTCTTTCCCCTCCCCAAGACTGCATGCTACCTGATACAAGCTCTACTTATACATTCATATTAAACATATTTTCACATTAGTCATGATGTAAAGAAGAATTTGAACTAATGGGAGAAACCACAAGAAAGAAGAAATAAAATGAAACAACAATAGAAGAGGAGAGCAAATGCTATGCTTCCATCTGCCTTCAGACTCCAAAGTTCTTTCTCTGGATGTGGATAACATTTTCTATTATGAGTCTTTTGGAGTTGTCTTAGATCTTTGCATTGCTGAGAAGAGCTAAGTCTATCAAAGTGAGTCATTGGACAATGTGGCTGTTACTGTGTACGATGTTCTCGTGGTTCTGCTCATTTCACTCAGTATCACTTCATATAAATCTTTTCAAGTTTTTCTGAAGTCTGCCTACTTATCATTTCTTTTTTTAAATTTTTTTATTTATTTTGATTTATCAGCAATCACTTGCATAAGCTTTTGAGCTTAAAATTTTTCTCCCTCTCCCTCCCCAAGATGGTGCGCAATCTGATATAGGCTTTACATATACATTCCTATTAAACATATTTTCACATTAGTCATGTTGTAAGGAAGAATTAGAACCAATAGGAGGAACCATCAGAAAGAAGAAACAAAATAAAACAAAAGAAAAAAATGGCAAATAGTATGCTTTGGTTCTTTCAGCATTTTCTATCATGAGACTTTTGGAATTGTCTTAGATCCTTGAATTGTTGAGAAGAGCGAAGTCTGTCAAAGTTAGTTATCACACAATGTAGCTGTTACTGTGTGCAATGTTCTCCTGGTTCTGCTCACTTCACTCAGCATCAGTCCATACAAGTCTTTCCAGGTTTTTCTGAAGCCCATCTGCTCATCATTTCTGATAGCACAATAGTATTCCATTACTTTCATATACCACAACTTGCTCAGCCATTCCCCAATCGATGGACCTCCCTTCAATTTCCAATTCTTTGCCACCACAAAAAAAGCTGCTATAAATATTTTTGTACATGTGGGTCCTTTTTCCATTTGTATGATCTCTTTGGGATACAGACCTAGAAGTGGTATTGCTGGACCAAAGGGTATGTCCTTTGGGCATAGTTCCAAATTATTTTCTAGAATGGTTGGATCAGTACACAACTCCACCAACAATGCATCAGTGTTCTAGTTTTCCCACATCTCCAACATTTATCATTTTCTTGTTTTGTCATGTTAGCCAATCTGATGGGTGTGATGTGGTACCTCAGAGTCATTTTGATTTGCATTTCTCTAATCAATAGTGATTTAGAGCATTTGGAAGCTGCTTTTTGGGAAAAAAAAACCCAACACATTTGTATTAATTATATCTAATAAGGGAGGCAGCTAGGTGGGTACAGTGGATAGAGTGTTGGACCTAGATTCAGGAGTACCTAAGTTCAAATATACTTTCAGACACTTAGTAGCTGTGCAACTGTGGGCAAGTCACTTAACCCTGTTTGCCTCAGTTCTTCATCTATAAAATGGTCTGGAGAAGAAAATAACAAACCACCGCAGTGTCTCTACCAGGAAAACCCCAAATGGGGTCACAGAAAGTTGGACATGACTGAAAAATGACTCACCAGCAAAATATCTAATAAGGATCTGATATCCATTACATAGACAGAATTAACAAAACTCAAATATATTATGCCAAAAACCATGTCCTAGTATATAAGTTGTCAGTTGTAGAGGACTGATAAACAGTCCTGTAAAGGAAAAATGCAAACTATAAGAGACTGCTACGTATCACTGAGAGGTGCAAATCAAATCAAGTCTGAAGTTTCACTTCACACCCAAGAAACTGGTGGAAATGGCAACAAATTAGGTAGAATGTAAGCTCCTTGAGGGCAGGGACTGTTTCTTTTTAGTTTTTGCATCCCTAGCACAGGGCCTGGCATGGTTTGAGGCATGGAGGAGGGAAGCTGACATAGCTCACGCCTATTCATTCAATAGACCGTTCTTTTGGAGAAGGAAATGGTAAATCACTCTAGTATCTTTGCTAAGAACAGCCCAAACAGGATGATGAAGAGTTGGACATGACTGAAACAACTGAACAACAAAAATTCATTCAGTGTTCTACTGTGTGCAAAGCCCTGCTAGGTGGAGGGACTGCAGAGACAAAAACCAGAAGGGGCCCTTGCCTTCAAGGGGCTTACATTCTCCTTCCACTGGCCCAGGTGGCCTTAGAGCACTAGGAGGCAAATCAGCTGTTGGAAGTGTGGAACAGTAGTATTGCTTGGGTAAGAAGAGACACAAAAAAGGGGGAAAAAATTATTGATATGACCGAGGATTCAGGTGAGATTGTGAGATTGTGTGCCATAAAGTTTTAGTGGGTGAAGTCAGTTTTGTGCCTTTCTTCAGAATCACTTTACATCTACCAGGGTATGCAGGGATTACCATCTCTATCTGCAGGGGAGATACCTAAGCTGATGGAATTGCTGGTCCTTTGAAAGATTAAAGGGATGCTTTGTTCATGTCATTGATGAAATTCGGACAAAAGTGAAAAAACTTCTGTCCCCTTTAGAAGAATAATGGGAAGTTAGAATAATGTACCCCAAGGCTTTATCCTGGACCTTCATTCCATCTCCTCCTCTTCCTGTTCCCCTTTCTCTCTGTCCCTCTCCCTCTCCCCCTTCCCCCCCTCTCTCCTTCTCTCTCCTTCCTCTCCCCCTTCCTCCCCTGCCTCTTTCTCTCCCTCTGTCTGTCTCTGTCTCTCTGTCTCTCTCTCTCTGTGTTATCTCATCAGTTCCCATGTATTCTCTTGGCAAACCTACACAGATGATTCCCAGATGCTTGTGTCTAGACTTCATCTCTCCCAAGCTCCAGTCCAGCATTGCCAGCTGCCTGCTAGACCCCTCACCGGGATGGCTCAGAAGCATCTCAAACTCAGAGCCTCTGAAATGGCACCAGTCATCCAGACTCACACCCAAGAGTCCTGGACAGCAGCTGTCTCACTCTGTTTTCTTCCCTTCCCACCCCATCCTCACACTGCTGCCAAATTGCCGTTCCTTTCCCAGAAGCTTGGATGTAACCGTCACTCCCCTGCTTTAAAAGCTTCAGTGGCTCCCTGTTGCCTCCAGGGTTAAATTCAAACTCTGTTGGTATTTAAAGCCCTGACAATATAGCTTTGATCTCTCTTTCAGATTGATTTTTTTTTACATTAGACCCTCTTATACAATTTACTTTTTAGTCAAACTAGCCCACCTGTTTATTTCCTGTGTGTGGCATTTGGCCTCCCACCTCCAAGCCTCTATTCCTGAGATGCCCTCCCTCCCCACCCTGTCTGCCTTTTGGTATCCCACTCTCCCTGTGAGGCTTAGCTCCTCCTACATGAGCCCTTTCTACATTCCCCTAATAAGTAGTAGTGTTCCTTTCCCCCATTTTGTGATTAGTGATTTGTATACATGCTGCTTCCCTCCAATTGTAAGCTCTTTGAGGACAGGCAGCATTTTCATGTGTCTTTGTACCCCAAACATTTAGCATGGCATCCCTTAATGAACACTTGTTGGATTGGAGAATCTGATACCATGAGTTCTTATGTTGAAGACCCCACAGGAATGACTGCTGACTCTGTGTTGACCCTTTTTTTCTCTCCCCTTAGCGCTTCGCTCTCAACACTTCCATCTTAAGGCGTGCCGGCCTCTTCAGAAGACCATGCAGAGAGCCTCACGCCTAAAGCGGGAGCTGCACCTGCTAGCCACGGAGCCACCGCCAGGCATCACTTGCTGGCAGAACCCAAACCAAATGGATGACCTCCGAGCTCGTAAGTACGCCCGCCCACCCTATGAGCCTTGGGAGGCCAGGCTGAATTTCAGGAGTTGGTCTCTTCTCTTAAAATTTAGGGAGAAAGACCAAGCATCTTAGTCCCTTTCTAGCCTGAGGATTTGTTTTCATAAAAAGGATGCCATGTTCTTTCCTCTTTTTCCAGGCTTGACAACAGCAGCTTTTGCCCATTTCCCTTTGTTGACAGGAAATTAACAAAAACACTTGGGCATCAGCTCTGCAGTACACATTGACTGAGAGGCTGCAAAGTGTAGCAGATAGGTCACTGGGCCTGGAGTCAGAAAAGGGAGCTCAAATCCTCATTTACTTACTAACCATATGGTCACTTTTCCTCTCTGTGCCTTAGTTTCCCTGTCTGTAAAATGAGGAGAATGGCCTCCAAAGTTCCTTTCATCTCTAAATCTGTGATCCTATAAGCCTTTTAACACTCCCTCTAAAAAAACTTGTGGCACAGCATGGCCATATTGGATGGCAAGAGGGCTTTGAGGAAGGGGCTGGTTTTAAAACCTTGAGAAGAGAGTTGTAGGCCCAGACCTAGTTTCTCTACTCTTGAGACTTTAGAACAATGGTGTTGAGTGGCACTGTAGCAATATAGCTCATCTCTTTACCCTTTTTTTTTCTCTTTTAAGAGATTTTGGGTGGGACCAACACACCTTATGAAAAGGGCATTTTCAAGCTGGAAGTCTCCATTCCTGAGAGGTCAGTGCAAATTTGATAACAAACCTGCAGGGTAAGGAGCCCTTTGGGGAGGCAGCTGGGTGTAGTGGCAGGGCATTTGACTGGGAGCCAGCAGACCAGAATTCTAGCCTCTGCCCTGCTACTAATTCTCTATGTCCCTTCAGAAAGTCATAATTTCTCTGGGTCTCATTTCTTCACCTGTAAAATGAGATTTGAGCAAATCATCTCCAAGGCTCTTTCCAACTCATTGAGCCTCCTAAGTGCCATATGAGATAAGTAATGATAGCTGTGGTCCTTGCATTCAGGCTAAGGAGGGGAGGTTCTGAATATCCAAATGGTTATTCTAGATCTCACCAAGCTAGACCTTGCAAACCCTGGCAGACATCCTGAGAAGAGTAGATTCGCCACATGATACATCATTAGTGAGACTGTAGGCTAAGAAGCAAAGACTTGTGTCGATTCCATGTGGCAGGCCGTGTTTTCCAGAAGTTCCTTTAGGCCAGAATTGAATGCTGACCTTTCTACAGACCCCCTTTTACCCATGTTAATTTGGGCAAAAGTCACTCCACTTCTCCAGGATTCAACGTTGGCATCTGTAAAACTGAGAGGGTTGGCCTGTGGGATCTCAAAGGGCCCATGGTGCTGATGTGAAAGCTGTGGATGATGCCATAAATAGCAGCAGCAAGAAACTGAAGTGTTTATTCTGTGCTTTCAAAGGTACCCATTTGAACCTCCAAAGATACGCTTTCTGACTCCCATCTATCACCCTAACATTGACTCTGCTGGGAGGATCTGCCTGGATGTTCTCAAACTGCCACCGAAAGTAAGTGAAGGCTTTATGGGAGGCACCTACTTTTGTATCAGATACCTTGTAATAGAAATGTGCTTTCCTTCCCATCTTGATGTAGGGTGCTTGGAGACCGTCCCTGAACATCTCCACCGTATTGACCTCCATCCAGCTGCTCATGTCGGAGCCCAACCCTGATGACCCCCTCATGGCTGACATAGTAAGTGTCTCTCTGATCTCTGGTGCATTCCACCCTCACCCTGAAGCTGCAGCACCCGATTTCAGAGGTAGGGCACTCCCCCTCATCTTCTTCTTTGCTTCCTTCCTAGTCTTCGGAGTTTAAATACAACAAACCAACCTTCCTCAAGAACGCCAGAGAGTGGACCGAGAAGCATGCTCATCAGAGGCAAGAGGTAATGCTCTGAATCGCCTCTTCCTCTGCTTCTATCCATAACAGATTTATCTCACCCAACAAGGGCAGATTGTGCATGTGAAATAGTTGGCTTTTCTCCCTTTTTTTTTCATTTTGCCCCTCACCCAAAGAGGGGAGAAAGGGCTCCTTATCTTAAAGACTACAATCCTCATGCCATTATGTATCCTTCCTGACGTCGTGGTCCTCTTGGAGAACGAAGGACAAACAACAACCTGTGTGAGGACTAAGAAGGCCCCTCTGTTGGCCAAGGGGAATCACCCATTAAATTATCCATTAGCCCATGGGACGAGTGCACGTGACCTAGTCCTCACTCTTTTGTAGACCCATGGTGAGAATTCGAGTTTGATAAAATCATAGACTTAAAGCTGGAAGGGACCTTAGAGGCCATCCATTTACAAATGAGGAAATTGAGGCACAGAGCGCCTTGTCCAGAGTCACACAGCTATTAAGTGTCTGGAGGAGGTTTCAAATACAGGTCTTCTTGGTTCCAAACACAATGCTTTGTCTATGATGTCCGTAGCTGGTGGAAGAGGAATCTAATCAGAATGCCTTAGAGCTCAGGTGTTCATATGTGTTTTTAGTGGAAGGGGGCAAGATTAGGGAGTGAGAGAAAAGGAAGAGCCCCCTCCCAAAAAAAGGGCCTGGGCTTTGTCAGTGGAAGTAGTTCCATGGAGTACTCATCACAGTACCCTCTCTAGAATGACCAGATGGCCTTTTCTGTGACAGTTTTTTAACTAACCATGAACTATTAAGACCATGACTTTGTCCTTCCCTTGCCTGGCTGGTACCTGCCAGCCGTACTCCATGGACAACACTAGAGGGCAGGCTGCCTCTGCTTACCAGAAGGCCTTGTTGGGGATGGATCGGGGGTGGGGTAAAGAGTCTTTTCTTCCAGTTTCCCCAACAGCAGTGGAGTAGAGGGGGAAGAGGGGAGCTGTTTTGGTCTTGACAGATGACTTCTCTGGGGAATGTCTGTCTGAGAACTTAACCAAGAGGCCTTTTATGAAAGAAGAGAAGTGAACCCCTGGCAGAATCCTTTAAATTCACTCTATGGATTTCAGTTAGCTACAAAGTTCCTTCACCATATCAAAATTCAAATTGCTGAACTACAGGGCCCTTCAGAATAAAAGTTCCTGACAGCCTCTGTTTTTAGACCTATTCCACAGGCTTGTTGTGAGGGAAATATGCCAGACAACAGGGCATAAATTTGGGCTGCTGGGGTTTTTATTAATTACAGGAGTTTTGGTGAGTGAATGAATGAATGAATGATAAAAAGCCCTTTCTCTGTGTCAAGCACTGTGCTAAGCACTGGGGATAATTGAGTAAGACAGCCCATAAAGGAAAATTCATCTCCAAGGTTGATGACAAAGCTGAGAAACCCTTCCATTACATTGGTAGGTCAGGTGACAAGACCCTGGAGTCTTCAGGTCATAGAAGAGGGGAGGCAGCAAAGCCTGGTAGTCCTCTATCTCACTGGATGGCATTTAAATGTTGGCTCCCATATTAACCATGCAGTATGAGTCATCAGGTGGCCTGGATGGGGTCTCGCTCCCTTTGGGGGAGAAGTTGAAGGGAATGCGAGGGGAGGGAGCATCCTAATGGTGAAGTGGTCTTTTGCAGTTAGGCCTCCCTGCATGGGGTTTGGGTGGTCTTGAAGGGGAAAGGAAAGCAAGGGGAAGAAGGTAGCCCAAGTCACGCCCCTCTGCTCTTTGTTTACCCCAGTGTCGCTGCTCATTTCTCTTCTATTTACCCGTTCTGTACTCTTTCTCAGGCTGAAGAGAATGAGGAGGTGGAGAACGTTCCAGAGCCTAGTAACCCCAGAGTTACAGAAGCACCACAGAAAAGAAAAGGCTCCAAGCTGGGGAGACCGGAAAAGAGGCTTTGTCTTGATGCTTAGGGAGTCCATCTCAAGCTGTCACAGCTGATAGTGGTCCACTTCTGTCAAGGCTTCTGATAGTGCCTCGTCTCTTTTAATGTTTTCTTGGTCTTTGATGAGAGTGGAATGGTTTTTCCCTTATAAAACAGGCTTTGTGTATTTATGTATACTGCAGTAGACTACTTTTCTGAATGTGATTTGTTGTATTTATCTTGTACATATGTATTGTGAAAACTTTTAACCTGAAAAATAAATAATCATTTAACATTGGGCCTGTGTTTACCCTGTGTGTGTATTTGGGAGTGAGCTGGTGGAAGAGGGTACATAATCAGAATGTTAAATTAGTTGGCTTCATTGCCTTCATCTATTTTACTCTCTTCCCACCATCATCAAGGAAACTTTGACATAGGGATAGGATTGCTGTTACAAACAGTTCAGTTATTGCTGGGTTTTCAGGAATCCAGCATAATGTGGGAATTGTGATACTAGAACCATTTTCTTCCTTACTTGTCCTTCAGCCTCTCAGTGATTATTGCATAGCTCAGGGGCAGCTAGGTGCCGTAATAGATAGAGCATGGGCGCTGAAATCAGGAGGACCTGAATTCAAATCTGACCTCAGACCAAACACTTGACGCTTACTAGCTGTGTGACCCTAGGCAAGTCACTTAACCCCAATTGCCTTAAAAAAAAAAAGTGAAATGTGGATTTTTACATGGCTAGTAATAAGTTCAGCTAGGTGGTGCAGTGGATAGAGCTCTGTTCCTGGAGTCAGCTAGACTCATCTTCCTGCCTTCAAATCCAGCCTCAGACACTTCCTAGCTGTGTGACCCTGGGCAAGTCACTTAACCCTGCTGGCCTCAGTTTCCTCATCTGTAAAATAAGCTGGAGAAGGAAATAACAAACCGCTCCGGTGTGTTTGCCAAGAAAACCCCAAATGTGGTTACGAAGAGTTGGACATGACTGAAAACAAATAAACAACAACAAAAATAATAAATCCAAAATACAAATAAAAATACTTCAAAACAGTTATGCTGTTGCCCCATAAGATTAATCAGAGCACACTATCATGGAATCAGCTTTAAGGTATGTGTTGCAGAATTTATTAAATGGACTGAATTTTTTTTTTTCATCACCTAAGTGACTTACTTGATTTGTCTTTTGGGGCTGGTATTGACTAGAGCAATGGTATCGAACTCAGTAAGGATCCCTACTGGTGCATATTGACTTAAAAAAAACCACATTAACATTATTTTCTATTGTATATTTTAAAAAATATTTTCCAATTATATTTTAATATGGTTGGCAAGGGGATGTTGCAGGGTAGCATATGGCTTTGACCCCTCTGGATTAAAGTATGAGTATATACATATAGGTGACAGTTTACTCAGGGGTTTTGTTTTGGACACCTGAAAGGGTTGCTAGAGCAAAACCAATTTTTAAAATATTTAATGAATTATTTTTAGCATTCATTTAAATTTTTTTTGTTTCAAATTCTTTCATGCCTCCCCTATCCATTGAGAAGGCAAACAATGTGATAGCACTTATGCATGTGAAATCATGCAAAACATTTCCATGTTAGCCATGTTGCAAAAAAAGAGTGAAAAAATATGCTTCAATCTGCATTCAGACTTCGTCAGTTCTCTTTCTGGAGGCAGATAGCATTTTTCATCATGAATCCTTTCCAATTGTCTTAGATCATTCTATTTATCAGAGTAGCTAAGTCATTCCCAGTTGATCATTGTACAATATTGCTGTTACTTGTGTATAATGTTCTCCTGGTTCAACTCACTTCACTCTGCATCGGTTCACATAAGTCTTCCTAGTTTCTTCTGAAACCATCTTGCTTATCATTTCTTATAGTACAATAGTATTCCATCACAATCACATGCCATAACTTGTTCAGCCATTCTCCAACTGATGGGCATCCCCCCATCAAATCAATTTTAATCTTCTATTCCTGTTTTTCTGCTTCCTTGATGTAAATTGGCTGGTTAAGAGTTAGATTCAGGAAATACTTAGAAGACTAATAGTAGAAGGTTTGCAAAGTGTTTTTCAAATATATCATTATATCCTCACAACAACCTTTGGAGGTAAGTGGTATTATTCCCACTTTACAGATGAGGGAATCAAGGTACCAAGAAGTTAAGTGATTCACCCAGGGTCCACAGCTAGTAAGTGATGCTGGCTTTGAACTCAGAAATTTTCCAACACTATCTTTTGGGCCACTTAGCTTAATGTCTCAAAGGAGTAATAAGACACAAAAAATAAGGAGGATGTGATAAGTTCTGTTGGAGTTACAAAGTGAGAGTACAGAAGAAGAGAAAGTAGGCATCTGCTTGGGAGGGACATATAATGTCATACTTTTTCAATGTATTGGTTAATCATGTTGATTTTTTTTCCTCTTTCCATTATAAAGGGTGATTCTGGGAGGGGAAAAGTGAATGATATATATGCAAAAATTAACATTAAAATTTATTCAAAAACAAACAAAAAAGATGGTGGCCTATTTCCTTGACCTTCCCTTTCTGGTCAGAGGAGTGGGTTGGAGTAAGGGTAGCAAAGTGAAGAGAGAGTTAAGGGTTAGCCTTCTCCCCACCCCCTCTTATACCTTCCATCCTTGCCTTGAGATGAAACAATCCCTCGTCTCTGAACCCTGGAGCTGTCCAGCCAGCACCTCTAAGAACTTTCCCAGTGTCTAACAATGAAGGCACTTCCTGGTTCTCATACCTGGGGTAGGGGTGGGAGGTGCAGGAAGGGAGGGAATAGCCATAGGAAGGCTCCAGAAAATTGCTTCATCTCCCTCTCCAGTAGTCAATTGGTTCTACTACCCTTAAACTGTAAACTGAGGGTTTCCTAGCCTAGGGAAAAGTTTCTTGTCTCTAAAGTCTCTAATTAAAGAGGAAAGATGGCATCCTTGACTGATCTTATAAACACTGTGGATTCTAAGCTACCCTCTCCAGCTGCCCCACCCCCTTCAATGCCTCCCCTCCACTCCCCCAAACTAGCTAAATAAGAACAGACTTTACCACCCACCTTGTGGGCAGTCACTGAGCTAAGGCTGGGCACTGGCTATTTATCCTTCAGCTGCTGAGAGAATTCAACACACACAAATAAAACTCCTTTTCCAGCCCTAGTGTGTATTTTTCCACCAGCATGCTCCCTCCCCCTCCCAGGTTAGCTTGTTTGGGTTGGGGAAGCCTGAAGGAAGTGAGGAGAAGGAGGGAAGAGAGGGAGAAGAAGGGAGGCTTGGAGGACCTGGTCACCACTATGGCTAGGATGCAATTGACAGGGTTTAACGTCCACTACAGGAAGATGCTGCTAATAGGATTCTTGGTGAAGCCCTGAGAGAAACCAGAATGGATACATAGTTTCCATGGAGGTTGGAAACATCACATACCATCTCCCCAGCACTCTGACAAGCTGGGTTCTGTCCTCTTGTCCAAGGCCCTATACTCCTTGTCAGTCCTGGAATGGTGCGGAGTGTCTAAGCTGAATTTTAGGGGTTATCTATGTGTTGGGCTGAGTTAATTCTTATTGGAAGATCCTATGGGGAAGGAGTTTCTTTTTTTTTCATTTTTAAGTGTTTTGTTAATTTTTTTTTGCTTTTTAGTGAGGCAGTCGGGGTTAAGTGACTTACCCAGGGTCACACAGCTACTAAGTGTCAAGTGTCTGTGACTGAATTTGAACTCAGGTCCTCTTGACTCTAAGGCCGGAGCCCCATGTTTCGCTAATTTTTCTCCCATTTTTATATCATTATCGCTTCTCAATTACTTGTCTCTCTCCCCATGGAACCCTCTGTTGTAATAAGTGAAAATGTCCTATTCATTGTGTTTCTGTTCAGTCATTTCAATCATGTCTGACTCTTCATGACCCCATTGGGGGTTTTCTTGGCAGAGACACTGGAGTGCTTTGCCATCTCCTTCTCCAGCTCATTTTACAGATGAGGAAACTGAGGCAAACATTTGCCAATTAAGAGATCACTTATAACTCCAAAAATCAAATTGAAGTGGGTTTAGGTGTGATAAAAGAAGAAATAGAGCACTAAGTATAGATAGCTTTCTCAAGGAGTTCAGCAGAGGAGAGAAGTGCTATAAAAGGATAGCTGGTGAGCCTGGTGGAATCTAGTGAGATTTGGGTTTTGTTCTTTAAAGGATGTGGATTTGTTTGTGGGAAGCAAAGAAGGAATCAGTAGGCTTCGAGGTGTTGAATATTAGAATAGGTATGATGGTGGGGAAAGTTTAGTTCTTCATCAGAGACTGGAGTAAAGGACAGTTAGGGATGATGTCAAGGGATTGTGAAATGAGAAGGATCTTATGTCAAATAGTCTTGGTTTTCTTGGTAAAATATGGGTCAAGGTCCTCAGCTAAGAGGTTAGGGGATTAGTGTGAGGAAGGAAGATGTTTGGAAAAACCAGTATGGTGAGTCAAATAGAGTATCAATTATCAAGAAGTCAGAGAGATTACATAAAGGTACTGTCATCAGGGTTTCAACGCTTTCTTTAGCTCCATTCCACAGCAGTGAGCAGAAGCTGAGAAAATGAATGGTGGCAATGGTTTAGGGTTGTAATTAAGGGGTGCAAAGAATGAAAGAGGGTCCCAAAGTCAGGTCTTGCTCAGAGAAGAGGGGTAAGTGCCCCAAGAAAACCACTGTATGGGGGCAGCTAGGAGGTGCAGTGGATAGAACATCAGCCCTGGAGTCAGGAGGACCTGAGTTCAAATCCAGCCTCAGACACATAAGACTCACTAACTGTGTGACTCTGGGCAAGTCACTTAACCCCAATTGCCTCACAAAAACAACAACAACCAAAAAAACCCCACTGTATGTCAGTGAGGCCTAAAGCTCAGGGCTGGATCGTGGAATCCTTTGATGTGAGTGAGGGGCTATGTAGAACCTCCTCCTCTTCCATCCACCAAGATTTATCCACTCTCATCTACCATAAAAATGAAAAAGAGAGGTCCTGGCAGAGTGATAGGACAAAGCTGAGTAGTAGAGTTGGAGACACTACCTTCAGCTGAAAGGGTCAGGGGAGGCTTTTTGGAGGAGGCTTTGAATAAAGGGGAAGACTTCAATGTGAGTGGAGTCCATTGTAGGCCTGAGGAGCTCCAGAATAAAGGCATAGGGATGAGGAAGGGGATGGCGGATGAGAAGGGGGCGGAGAATAATCAGATGGGCTCCTCGAGGACCTATCGTTCCCTGGAGCTTCTTGACACATGCGACTTCTTCCAGCTCCCTTCCTGAGACTTCTCTTTTTGAGACCTCTCCTCTTAGGG